TTATTATTATTATTATTATTATTATTATTATTATTATTATTATTATTATTGTGAATTGTTATATCTTTTATCATGCTTGTTCCATAAATTATCAAGAATTGTTATCGTAATTAAAAATTTGTTGATCTTTATATAATTACGTAAAATATTTTTACATTTTAGAAAATTATTTATGTATGACTTTACTGAAAGCATAGCTGAAAGTATACAAAAAATATTACATTTTATATAAAGAATATATTTCAACTTCAGAAGATATATTTATATATATTTTTAATATTGTAAAATGTGATAAAGGGAATACTCAAATAAAGTTACTGAAATTCATTATTTCCTATTAATACATTAAATATTTATTAGCAGATACTACTTGCACGTATATTTTAGATACATAATATTTTCATAACTGTTTCCATATCTGTATGAAATATTTGCAATAAAATTAATATACATATTTCATTTTGTATAACGGAGAAAAAGTTTTATTACCTTTCGAGCTTCGCGTATCTCCTTTCTTGATTTTAAAATACAAATAAAGTTACATTACGATACAATATAATACATATAATATTATGTGTAAACTTTACAGTCATAAAATTTTAAATTATTAAATTAAATAATACAAATATTTATTATTTACAAATTTACCCGTTTGCAAAAATAATTAAAATTTAATTTCAATCTGAAACAATTGAAAATGTATAGATAACATTTGCTTGAATTTTATCAAAAATTTCTTAGAAGGATCTTGTTCAGTACACAACACAAATATTTTTTTAAATATTGTAATAAAAATTCTAAAATAAGAATTAATATACAGCTCATATATACATTGTACTATTCTAAATACAGCGAATCAGTAAATTACTTGCATCTTACCAATGTATAAATGAAAAATAAATATAAATATTTAAAATCATTTCTTTTTACACTTTGTTATACTTTAAATAAAAAATAGTTTTACCATACTATCTCTACCTACATTATGTCTATATACGAAACTTATGAAAATTATAATAGATATATTGTACTGAAATTATTATTCAGATTATAAAATCGAAACGAAAAATAATCGAGAAACAAATTTGCTTACTTATATTTAGAGTTTACTTAATTGTCCAAACTTTTATAACTTAGATCTATTATTTCTATTTTACTCTATATTATTATTTTATGCTTCTTTAAATATGCAGTGCATATATTGTTAAAAATATATCAAATACTGTATGAAATTCAACATTTTATATTACATCAATAGAACTACAATATTATTATGTTAATATTATTAATATTAATCGTAAAAATTTATAAAAAAATTATATAGACTAAAATAAACTAGTAAATCAAAATTTATTTTTGTCCACTTGAAATTTAATAATAACAAGCAATAAAAGTATAAAAAAACAAATTTTTTAATCATACTAATCAATTTATTCTTGAATTATATTATTCATAATGTAATGTATGTTATGTTATAATGTAATTGTCATCTGTTAAATATAGAATTTATGTTCAGAATTTCAGATTTAATATTTAGAAAATTTTATTATATATCGAGGATAGATCTAATATTTTTTAAATATAAATGTACCTGTTTCATAATTTATTACTGAGCAAAACCTGAACGTTATTAGGTTCTATTTAAATGTCGTCGAATAATCCTCTTTGTGGAGGTCCTATACGATTAGTATTTGCGATAAATGCTCTTGCATTGTCTATTTGTTCTTCATAAAAATCATCGGCTTGGCAGCTTGTATCGTAACTATTATTTGCACCATAACTATCACCTCCAGACGCCATGCCAATGTAATAATCTGCAGGATCAAAGTCACGCAATAATCCGGCTCTTGCAGATTCTACTGATTCATCTCGTTTTAAAGGTCGGACTATAATTTAATTTAAATTTGAAATGTAAAGGTTAGTGACCCTACGTTTTTACGCTATATATTATCACTTCACATAAATTGTAAATACCTGTATCAGTACTTTGCCGTGAGGTTCTATAGCGAGATGAACTAGCAGCACCACTAAATCTTTCTTGAAACTCCCGTCTTCTATACATTAAATCTTCAGCTCTTTGTCGTTTACGTCTCTCTAAAATTGAGCATATAAATACACTTATATAAAAGAAAAAAATATATATATATAATATTATAATATCTATTATTATTCTAATAAAATGGTATTACCTCGTTTTATTAACTCTTGACCTTCCTCAACAAGATCTGTTGTAAACTCATCATCATCAAGAAATTGTTGAAAACCTAACATAGAAAGCAATCTACTCCCTAAACTAAAATACGTTGCTAAACAAAATGCTAGAATAGCCATTGGAAAGTATACATTGAATCCATCAGATATAATGGAAATAACATCCATATGTCCCATTACCTAAATAAGTGAATTACAGAATAAATTTTAAGTTTAACATGAGAATCTTGTAATTGTTCATATATTTACTTGAGTGTAATGAGTTTCCAAAATGTGAGTTTTAATAATATGCGAATCCATGTGTACAAGACCCAAGAAGTTTAAACACATAGGTGGTGTAAGACGGCATAACATCATTCCACTAAATATTAAACTATACTCGTTAGTCTGATGATGAGGTGCCAAGTAATATAAGTTCAATACACGAATTTTTAAAACAGTCGAATAAGCGCAGTAACAAAGATAAGCAATTATCAGCATTGATAATACCTATAAAAAATATTTTAACTATCTTTTTCTTTCTTTCTCTCTCTGTCTTTCTCTCTTTCTTTTATATTAATTATTTTTAAAATAAAAATTTTGTTTTTTAGTATCAGATATATTGTATCACAATATCAAATATATCAGTATATATTTTTACCTCAATTGTAAAATAATCGTAATTTGCCTTAGCTAGATTCAAAAATTGGGCAAATAATGATAACACTGGAGTTTTATTAAAAAACGTTACTTCTGACCATACTACAGCTATTGAAAGACATCCAGTACAAATAGCTACGATCTTTTGTACATAACTCTTTATGACACATTTCCAATACCATTCTAAAAATATTAATATATATTATATATATTATATATTCTAATAAATATTAATATAAATATAGATAAAAGTGATATATTCTGTAATCATTACTATTTTAAGCTTACCTATAACTGGACTATAAACAATACGAAGTGGAAATGAACGATGAGTAGGAAAAGTTGCTTTGAATCTTCTATCATCACTTACTTGATTCTTTGCTATATCTTCTAAATCAATTATTTTATCAACCAAAATTCCCCATTGTGTTTCTATTCGTTGTAAAGTTTGCAATGCTTTTATTGTCTAATAAAGAAAAAATGAATAAGTAATTATGTTTATATATTTACATATACAATATATTTAATTAGTAACAAACTTGTCTATGTAAACGTATTAAAGCTTTTTCAGATGGTGTATCTGTTGGTGTATCATCTGGCAATTGTCTTCTATTCATTCTATCTTTTAATTCTGCAGGAATCTTTTGAAAAATCGTTTCTAAATTACAATGAAAAGGATGCCCTGGTCCAATTGATATTGTAGCAGTTTGTAAAGACTAAAAAATAAGATAAACATAAGATAATGATAAAAGTAATTAAATGTAAATTAAATATTTAATCACTTCAAGTATGTCATCTACTGTTTCTTCTGCTTCGCATTTATCCAAACTTAATTTAGCAACTTTAAAATAGCTATAATTTAAAGTGTATCCAGGTTTACTAGCATTCCATAATCCACGAGGAACTTCTACAAGTGCATATCCAAGAAGTAATACCAATAGGAATAAACCCCATGTATTTGATGCAGATGATGCTATAGCTTTTAATTTTTGACTAAAAAAAAAAAAATATATATATATATGTATATGTATATATATAAACGCATATATTTTTATATGTATTACACAAATATATATTTACCCATCAAAATCAAAACCAGGCTTCAGTGCTATATATATTAAAAGAATACCACATATGAACAAATAACTTCCATAATATATAGCATTATCTATTAAAGCAGATTTTAGCTTTCCTTGAACTGTGAAATCTCCTGCTTTTATGTAAGATTGCATAATTGGTAATATTAGCCATGTTAAACATTGCGAGGTCCAATATACAATCCTCCATAAATTTGGAAATATATGTTCTGGTACATTAGGCCAAGGTTCTTTACAAGTATGAAATGGGATTGTTGTTGTACTATCAGAGTTTAGTTTTGTGTTATTATGAATATTTTGTTCAACACATTGTCTAAAAACAGTCTATAAGAATGTAATGTATTAACATATATTGTAACGATGTATCAATTGGTCTGACATTATTAAAATTAATAAGCTTTTTTACTTACAGATGAAACATCTAAAGGTAAGATAAATATTATTAGCAGTGAAAAGTACCATGCTATGAGCACAGAAACTGTGACAATAATGTGATGTCGAAAAATATTCCCATATTTATACAATAAAGTGGCAGCAAGACAAAATGCTGCTATGATTTCTGTCAAGAATACTCCAAGAACCATTTTGGTAACTTCTAATTTTTTACTTCATCATACCTCTATAATTTACATTCCTTAATACTTAAAAGTTATTCATTATTATTCTCATTACTATATTCTACTGCTTCTCGAATCTTTAATTCGGCATCCTTTTGCATTTTCTCTAACTTTTCTAACGTAACAGATTTTAATGGAATTAATTTGGGCTTACAGAGAATATAATCCAAATTTTCTTTCTGGTATAATAAAATTTGCCTAGGAAGGATTATGTCAATCTTTTCTGCAGAATTATCCATCAATTGTGACATTTTTGCTGGAATCAAAAAGGACTTATATATTCTATTTATATATAATAATATTATAATTATATTATAATCATATTTATATATCTAAGATTATGTACAATTTTAAATAAGTTTCTAAATCATTCCTAAATAAATACAATATCTGGCATATCATAATGTGTGCATACTTCTTGTATTTCTCAATTTAATTTATATAGCTGTCAATATAAAATACAAGTAGATTGTATAAAAAAAATTATAGTTTTCAAATTCAGTCACTTGAATGTAATCGTTATATTGGTAAATATTGTCAAGAAACAAATAGAATATTAAACAATAATAAAAAAGGCAACCAAATGTTCGAATGTAAAAATTAACAGAAGGTTCGTAACCACGTTCCACATATTTACTTAAATAATTACCGAAATGGTTCGCGTTTTACATTAGAACATACTTTTGTCAGTGAAAAATGCAATGTATCCATTTCTTTTCTATAATAAAATCGTTAAGCATACATCGTACGATACAGTAAAATGTATCGACGTCAAATGAACACCGTCACATGAACACCGTCAAATTGTCATTTACGAATAATATCACTGTCTACTTTAGGTATAGGCTATAATGAAAATAATCTGGCAACAATGCCAGAACTGGGAACTTTCGCCTCGATATAAACATAACCTAGTCACTATAGCCCCCTCTATAGACTCCCCGCGATTTTATGAAATACTTGTTCATAATAATGTTTTGTATTAATAAATCCTAATTACGTTGCAGTGTGTTATAATACATGATATATAATGTACATGATATATAGTGTAGATTTGTTCGCTATGTTATTTGTATTAGACGGCTGATTTTTTGATAAAGCTTAAAAGTCAAAACTTTTATTGCAACACTCTTAATTGTAAGTGCCTGTGACCTTTCCAATTTTGCAAAAAATTATAACAGCATTTTAAAATCAAATGTATTAAAATCCAGCATTTTGATTTCATTTTATTTCATTTCCAAAGTAGACAATGAGATGAGAAAGTTCAAAAATTCGTATTCGTTAAAAATATCATACGGTGGTAAGATAGTAAATTTAATAAATCACAGTGCTGCCCAAACATTTTTTGTTCACAAGGAAAACACTAGGAGAGGGATTTCCTAGCTTTGTTACTTTTGTTGTCAAGGAAATGACATATATCACTAATGATGAATCTGCGCAAACGTAGAACTGGAAAGAAAACAGAATGCGAATTTGATTGGTTATTTTGGACGGATTCAGTACATTTTTAAATACAAGCACTTCTATTGGCCAAAAATGTCATATAAGAAACGAACTCGTGTAGCACAGTATTTCAGTGATTGATAGCAGGTGATCATCCTTTTTGTCTTTCTACTCTCCCGCTAGTCTATTTTACCTTTGGAGTATTTGTTAAGTGAAATTTAAAGTATGACCAAGACACAATTATTCTTTGAAATTGAATTGATGAAAGTAGAAAAAATGATAAGAGGAAGTGAAAATACATAAATACATTATCTTTAAGAAGAGTATCAATGTAAAAAAGCGGGAAACACTATTTTACCATTAAACAAAGGTAATGTAATAAAATATGTTTTATTTTATATATTTTGATGTATTTAATATTAATTACAAAAGTAATTTACATACTTTACTTCATATATTACTAATTAATTTACACACATAATATTTTATGTAGTTATAAATATTACTACGTGACAATAATAATTATTGTTTCTAGAAATTTTATATCAATAACATTCGAGGAAACTTCGCCTTCGAAACAACGTATATTTGTATACCAAAACAGTATTTTTTCAATTTTTATTGGTTGTTTAAATAAATTTTTCTAATATGGCAAATAGAAGGAATAAAAATAGATCTGCCGTAGTATATAACACGTAAGAAAATTCGATATTAAACAGTAAATAATTTTATTTATTTCATAAAATTGATAAATAACATTTATTTCTGTATTAGGCACTGTACAAGCTTTAAAGTATGTACACTACCGAACTTACCAAATTTTAGACCACCAGCTGAGTTGTCTGCAGTGTTAAATAAGACAAGTCCCAGAAATAATAAATTATACGATGGTTATGTAAAATTTATTAACTGTCTTCCACACATAAAAAAGATAGAACCTGAGTATTACTCGATACTGTTTAAAATGTTATTATACTTGGAAGAGCATGAACTTCAATTAATTCTTGCAAGACACAATTTGAAAAATCAGAAACTGAGATGTGTTTCTGATAAATTTGAAATTACAGTGCCTACTTTAAATGAAGATGACCCGTTTATTATTATTGGTGATAAATTAACTGTTAGGTCAAAAGACTTAAACTACTTACATAATTTTAAAATAATAGATATTGTACAGAAAAACGTATATGTAGCAATACCAAATGAGTAAGTATATTTAATTTATAAGAAGAAATAAAATATAAATTAACATGTATATAATCATAATTGTTTGGAAAACTTTTCAGATTTTCTGAATATCTTACAGATGAAGTTGATATATCTTTTCATAGTGTAAATTGGCCATTAAAATGTTATCATTATGTCTTAGATACTATGTGCTATTATAATTTAGAAAATTTAATATATCCCAAAATAAATACAAATCATTATACTTTATCAAAAGTGTAAGCTTTCTTTAATAATTATCTTTAATTTGTATGTCACATTTTCTTATATTTAATCATAATCACTATATAATGCACAGCGATTTGGATTGGGTTCATAAAAGTATAGTAAATAATGAAGAACAGAAAACAGTGGTAAAGAATATTTTGAACAATTCATCATACCCTGCACCATATATTATATTTGGTCCTCCTGGTACTGGAAAAACAACAACATTAGTTGAAGCTATTTGCCAAGTATAAATTCATCTAATTTCTAGTATAATATAAAATAGAAATTACTTTCATTCTAAAATTTTACTCATGTTATTTTATAGATTAGGAAAGAATACAAATCAAAAAATATTTTGGTATGTACATCTTCAAATGCAGCAGCAGATGAAATTACAAGGAGATTATTGTATTTCCTTCCTCATAAAGATGTATTTCGGATGTATTCCCCAAGTAAATGTTGGTAAGTTTTTGTTTTCATAGATATCTAATACTTTATTAGTTTTATTTTTTTTTTCAAATTTGTAGTAGTGACATTGACAAACAAATTTATCCAAATTCAAATTTTATTAATGATATGGTCCTTTATCTACCAAAAGAAATTTTTATTTGGAAGAAAATTGTTATTTCGACACTTGTAACGTGTATGAGGTATGGGTTTTGTTTATTTTTATAATTTTTTCATTAATGATTGTATTTGTGACATTTACAGTTTTTTAATTACAGATTGGTGAACCTTAAATTACGAAATGATCATTTTTCGTATATATTTATTGATGAAGCCAGTCAAACTATAGAATTAGAATCATTAATTCCATTTGTAATTACAAAAAATAAAACTGAAGCAATATCACATGCGCAAGTTGTTATTGCTGGTGATCCTTACCAATTGGGGCCTATGATTACATGTAAAAAAATTGAACATTTACTTGGTAAGTATTATTAAAATTAAATTTGTGTTTTATTAACTGATAAATTGCATTTTATATTTAGGAAAATCTTTATTAGAAAGGTTAATGGAATGTGAACCGTATCAAAAAGTAAATAATAAATATAATTCACGTTACATAACAAAATTAATTCATAATTACCGTAGTAAAGAAGCTATTATATATACGTCTAATAAAGAATTTTATGAAGGTGATTTGTTGTGTTTTAAAAAGGAAAGTACACACAGCATAATTTCAAATTGGACACTATTATCAGAAAAAACATTTCCTATCTTATTCTTTGAAGTTACAGGTGAAGAAGTGAGAACGCCAAACGGAAGGTAATTATAACATTTCTATATTAAAAACTGTGACCTTATTTAATTAACCGAATTTAAAGATATTTTCTAACTTTCGAAATTAAATACATTATGTTTTTAGTGTTTATAACAAAACAGAGATCGATATTGTAACAACAATTGTAGAAAAATTAATGCATTCCAAAATTGGCAATCGTAAAATTAAAGAAAAAGATATTGGAATTTTAACTCCATTCAAGCAACAAAAAATTATGATTGAAAAATATTTACAATCAAATAATATAACTGTCGGAACAATAGAGACATTCCAAGGACAAGAAAGAGAAATTATAATTTTAAGTACAGTACGTTCACAAATCTTTAAACACAACAATAAGCGACATATCGGTTTCTTGTCCAATCCAAAGGTATAATTTTACGTTTTTTTATATTTCAAGTATAAACCTTAAGAATTATATTTATTTATTTTTTCAGAGATCTAATGTTGCTGTAACAAGAGCAAAAGATTTATTGATAATAGTAGGAAATCCATTTATTCTTAGTGAAGAAAGATATTGGTATATTTTATGGCAATATTGTAAAAAAAATAATGCATGTATTTTTGCTGGCGAAAATCTTATCTAAAGATTGTTGAAGTTTTAATATATAATAAAAAATTATTAATTATTAGAACCCATAGACTATTTTTCTACAAGAGTAATCTATTAATATATCACAAAGACTTCGTTTTTTTTATTTTTTTTATATTTCATATTAACTTTGCACTCAAGCGGCGACTCTCAATCGCCACGCGGTAACTCGAGTGACGAGTGAGAAGCGATAGTATTTATGTTAGATTTTGTTAAAACTTTAAGAGAGTAGTATTGATTCACGAATAGATTCCTTAGTTCTTTACATATCTTCTGGAAAGTGTAAAATTATACGGCTTAAAAATAAAGATAAGATGTTCTATTTCAAAACATTCCGCGACATAAATGACATCTCCGATATCAGATTCAACGTTTGTGGCAGAAATATTACTGTTTCGAAAATCTTGAAAAACTTTCCCTGTGAAAATGAATTTTAGAAGTCAAATCAGTTCAAGTAAAGGCGAGTTTGATTTTACACTGTTACGAAATTAGCTTACATTCATAACGAATTTAGTAATACAGCAAATGAAAGCAGTGATGGAGATAGTAACATCGTATTAGTAGTAAAAAATTGAAAAAATTAAGAGTCCAAAAAATGGACAATGATTTTGAATATAGGAATTATAAATAAAATATTAAAATATAATTTTTGCACATTAATTTGTATATAAAATTATTTTATATTAGCTGTAAGGTGCGTATCAAATACGCGCAAAATCGTCTCGAAGTGCTATTTCGCTCAACAGAAAAAGTTGTCGAGTGTAAAGAATTAATATTTGAATAAAATTTTAATAGTTAATTTCAAGTAGAACAAAAATACAAATAAAATTTGTATTTAAAACATTATTTGAAAACTTAAAAAAATTGTATATTAAGTTTATGATTAACAGACAACTTTCGTTTAAAATCGGATAATGTTAAATATTTAAGAATCACTTATTATAAATTTGAAACTTTAGTCAATAATTTTAAAGTTACTTCGTAAAATATAAGTTTATTCTAAAAGAAGTTTCGCAGTACCTCCACTAATATCCTTATTAATACCGTGACGTACAGCAAATTCATGTTTTACACTCGCGAAAAGAATATCTGTTAGTAAAAAAATTTGTGCTATAGCAAATGCTAATGTGACTCCAAAATAAAAATTTGCATTGGCTGATCTGGAATAAATCCATTGGTACCAAACAGTAGGTGCAAAGACTGTACAAAATAACATAAAACAGCCTACAATAAATCCTTGTTGTGTATCTGTAAAAAAATAAAATTTTTATGATACATTATATTTTTCACTCAATAAATGTAGTTAATATAAAAACTTACATTGGAATAAGTGTTTCCATAGTGGTAAAAGAGATATATAGAATCCAACATCTCCTATGCAAGGATAAGATTTAAATATGGCAGTAACTGCTAAGTAAGAAAATGCTAATAACATAGGATCATGTCGTAACCTTAATGCCAATGGTACTATATACAATAAACTGACATTTATTTGAAAGGAAGCGATGAAAAGCCATCTAAAATGTTCAAATACTTCTGTGAAAAAATACCAATAAAGTCCAACATTTGGACGTAAATCAGGAACGGTTAGAATAAAGCCAAGTGTGCTCCAAAGAAATGACCAACTTCCCATAATATAATACGAAATACCAAACAGAGTGGTTATTATGCTTGCAAATACTATAACATAGTTCATAATATTCCTTTTTTGTTTTATACTATTAGAATGAGTAATATAAATGATTGCTGGCACTGTGAGTGAAACAGGATAGAGTCCTTGTAGTGTTAATAGAGAAATTGATAAACAATTCCAAAATATAGATCTTGTCATTGAAACCAATGCTATGGAATACAACAAATTTGTGAATACTGTTGTTGTATGTCCAACACAGTTTAGTATTATATATGGATTGAATAAATATCCTGCTGAGACATACATCATCGAAGTATATACTATAGATGCATCATTATGAGTTTCTTTATTTTCATTGCACAATTTTTCTTCTACTTTTTGTTTAGAAACCTAAAATTAAAATTCTTTCATTATAATTGAATTAAATCAATATAACATTTTAAATATGCAACTTAACTGACCAATTTAGTTGTATATTGTTTAGCTGTAAGTCCAAGAAATACTGCTGTTAACAAATCGGTAAACACAAATAAGCAAAATAAGATCCATTGTGATAGATGTTGTTGTATGAAATTGAAAACATATAATCCAATGGGTGTTTCGTGAAACAAATCTCCTACATAGGGATCAATGCCACAATTATACAAATACACTCCTTCAGTTACTAAAAATGAATTAGAAAGATCATAATTATTAAGTAGTATTAAAATAATAACGCTATTAACAATACAAATGAATGCATAAATACATATATACATATTTTTATGTATTTATAATAAAAAACAATAACGCAAATTTTATTTTGGCTATTATTACAGAAAAATTAAGTAATAAAGTGACATTCATTCTAACCTCTCTTCCACGAATTCAGTGCAGTAGAAACTTCCACACGATCACTAATAACTTTTTGGTATTCAGAATTCATTAATAAAAATCTAATAATACCGGCTAATATAAAATTTGATAACCATTGTTTCTTCATTTTTCAATTAAATTATGAATCATTTATATATTCGTGTTCTACGATCGGTATTTTCGATATATAAGCGGCATTTAGACAGACATACTACATATTTGCTTTGTTTATTTAAGCAATTAATTTTATTTTTATTATTTTTTAGAATATAATCTTTGATAGCGGTATCTTTTTGCTTCAAATTGCTGTTAAAGTTACAACCAAAACATTGCATGTAAACGACTTTTCTTTTCTTAATGAGTCCAATTTTGTTACAGTTACAATTTAAAATTCAACATATGTCAGAAATCGTGAAACCGATTTAATAATCGAAATGATAAAATTATTTTTCATTTCATTTGGACTCTATTTAAATCCCATTTATTTAAATCCAGTTTGAAGAAAATTTCATGTAATAAGTCTGTTTGATGTATGTGTGATATATATTAGTACCTATGTTACACTTCCTTTTCAAGTCGAAAATACGAATAAATAGAACATGAATATATATATGAATGATAAATTGAAAACGTGTAATTTATATTTTGTTTGTAAAAACTTGTATTTCTTTTAAACTGTAAAATGTTATCATTTTCTCATTCGTATATATTCTGCTTTTATGATATTGTTAATAATCTACATTACACATATGTTAACGATTTTATATATCGTTACATACTTATTATGTATTTGTTCCTTTTTTAAATTAAGATAAAAAGTCTGTTTTGCTTTATCGAATATAAAAAATTTTATTTTTTAATTATAACAAAAAAATGTGGAACGCTTCACGATTTTGCGTGTCATCCTTGCGCAGGGGCCATGCTAATCTTCTCTGTATCGTTCCAATTTTAGTATATGTACTGCCGAAGCAAGTACAACAGAAGGTATTAATTTCTCGTATATAAAGGAACTATTTTATTTCCTATCACTAGCGAGAAAATATTTTTTGTAGCCATCTAGTGGCACATTAATGTAATACTAAACATAACGAGACACAATACGTGATAAAGATGATGGTATTGTTTCATTAAATTTTCTTACAAAACTTTTGAATCTACTATCTTGTATTTGTATTTTGCATTAAAGATCATTATTACGATAAAAATAATGATCTTACTTAAGATTGAACATAATAATTATTTTAGGTTATTATTCATCTTTCAAACTACATATATAATTTATAGATCATACTGATTATCATTAAAATTGTTCCGTACAAAATTTTCTGCTAGTGGAAATAATAGGCTTCAATACGTAAAAGCATAATTTTAATAATATATTTTATATTTTAGCATAAACGACTAACAGGATGGCGATATGTAGTATTCATAGGAGCGATAACAGGATATTTAGGAATTTACTGTTACTTTACAATGATAGATCCTATGCTTAATCCAGAACCATATAGTATGTATTTAACACTTCAATTATTAAATAAAATTTTAAACTGACATAAAAATAATTAATTAATCTAACATAAAAATTTCAGAACAATTTCGGCAACATGTAGAAATGGAAAATCAAAACAAAGCAAATAAAAATAAAAATAAAAATTTATAACGGAATATATTTTGAAAGAAAAAAAAAACAGATTAGAGAGCACATTTATTATATAAAATTAATTTTTATTATATATTGTAGTTAAACATATGTCACTAATATGTTGGTGTATATAAAATAGACTGAAGAACATTTAGCATGTTAAAAAATCAATAAATGTAATAGTTTGTACTCTTCTTATAATTATTAATGTTATTGTATTACTGTACAAATATCTGTTGCAAGAAGTTTCTTATTTAAAGTGACTAGAAACTCTCCTACAGACATTTTAAACATACAATAGACACAGTTTGTGTTAAAAATCATCATGGTCACAAACATCTAGGAAGACATCAAATGCCTCACGGTTACAATTTCCATCAGTAGTGAAAACATATTTATGAAATGTTCCATCCATACATATGGCTAAAAATAATGTAAAATGTAAAATTACATATTGCACATATAATAAATATTTATATTTGAAATAAGTTTTATAAATATTTTATGTAATTATATCGAATATGCTTTTCATGTACTACGTACCTATAACAGAACTTCTTGTACCAAATGCACATACACAAGCACATTCTGGTGGTACTGTAAATGTAGCTAATGCCCATTGACTTTCAACATAATTCCCCAAAAATCCCACTTTTGAAAAACTACAAATAAGTTCATCATTAATTATAATCATTGAAGTTTATAAAACTTTGAGTTATATTTACGTACGTCGATCTGCGATTTAATTGTGTGTCTTTTAATGCAAATATATGTACTGTTCCTTTATCACTGGAAACACATAGAAATTCCGAATCTCTACTAAATGTAATGCTGAAATATCATTCATTATAATTCATTACAATAAAATTTTTAAAAGCAAAATACTCTTTCATTCTCATTTGTTTGTAGTTATATTTACCAATAAAGAGTTGCAGGATCAGCACCTCTTCTCAATTCCACTAATAAATGTCTACGTATACTGTCCCATACTCTAATTAAAGTACCTTGCGTGGAAGCAGTTGCTATCATTGTTCCACTACTATTAACTGCGAGACAAGCTAATACACCCTAATTATATGGTTTATAAATATAAAGAAATAGTAAGAGGATGATGATATAGAAGTATCACTTTTATTTAAATCTTTAAATTAAATAAAATATATTTACTTGATGTGCTGCAAGAGTTGCAGGAGCACTAGAACTTCCAGCTTCTGTAGCAGCAAGATCAATCAATTGAACACTGCCTTGTTTGTGACCAGGGAAAGCAAGAAGTTGTTTCTGTGCAGTAGCTAATGTAGCAACTTCAATTAATCCTTTTGGATTGTCTCTAGTTTCTAAAGTTAATAATCTTCGTGTTGGCATAGGAAATGAGAATACATGTATTTCTCTTTGAAGTGCCACTACCATTCTGTTTTGCAAAATTATTTTTAGGTAAATACAATATTTATGTTGACTAAAAATAAAAGATAATTTTATTAATGAACTTACTTGTCTCTACGCAATCTTACAGCTTTTATAGGACTGGTAAATGTAACCTCCATTATAAACTTTTTAGATAAATCATCATAAATAAGTACTGTATTTTCTGCAAACTTTGGTTTTGTACCACCACCTACTATGGCAATAATATTTGTTCTCCAAAGCATTTCTGCAGTAGCTATGCTTCCCATTATGTCATTTTCCAAATGTGCTTTTTCAACTAATGGTTCGACATTATATACTCTGAGGCCAGATTCCATGCAACATGTGAAACATCCTAAAAGAATACAAATTAAAAACAAATCAAAAACAAATTCTTATAGTTTAGACTAGTTTGATAAATGATAAAATATTATTAATATTAACTACCACAAATTTTAGTAATTAAATCGAATTATGCGAATAATAATAGTAATTTTTAGTAATTAAATCAAAATGCAAATAATAATAATACAATACAATAACAACGCTGTTACAATTAAACCACGATTTTTTTTAACATTATACTTTTAGTTTTTATTCTCGTGATGTTTATTTTTTTTACAAAGCAAAATATTTTGTGAATGTTTCTAGTTTTTTTAATTTTAAAATAACTAAATGAATAATAGAAAGAATATTAAGTTTTCAAATATTGGAAATAAATTAACATTGTTAAATCACATTATGAGTTTAAGTAATTGATGTTACGAACAATAGTTACCTTGATCTTGATTAAATCGTAAACTAAGAATATCTTTTTCCCCAGCCATTTGATGTTACATCAAAACAGACGTATGAATATTTCTTATATCGATATGTAAATCTTTTTTCCTAATAACTATACTACGTGTTTTTGTTTACATTCTTCTTTCAGCTGTGATATTATGTTTGGTATAGTAGTTCATTCTTTGTATGATTCGTAAGATAGCAAAGATAAGGCTGATTTTCACTTTTTAGATAAATCAATCTTATTTATGAATAGTACGAGCAAACAGCTATGCAAAGAATAGAAAACGCAATGATTCCTATTATTGAGTTACATTTAGCAAAACTGAAAACGCAAAATGTGAAATTCAAATAAGTTTGGCAGTATTTCATTCATTTAACAACAGTAATATGTTACATTGAATAATTATAATTGTTTTTATCGTATAGTAATACTCGTAATTTGAGAAAAAAAAAATAATAATAACAATAATGATAAAATTATTTTAAAGGTATTGGTTATGACTATATTTCTGAATAAATAAAATCTCTAGTACAAATTTACCCAGTTTTACGCTTACATTATTGGCTGCAGTGATATTTCCAATATCCTGCATTGCAGGTCCTATACTGTGTATGGAAACCTGTTCTCTGTAAGATTCTGTCAAAAAATGTCAGCAATGGTAAGTTAAATATAAAAATTGACTTAATATTTTATTTTTTTCGTTTCTCAAATATATTTCATATAACAAATATACATTATATTTAATCTAATGCATATTTGAAATGAACCTTGTGTCATCCCCTCCTTGTTTCAAATTTCATCAATACTTGAGACTATGTAAGTGATATACTGTCAATAAGCAAGACTCGCTCTTTTAATAGTGAAATTCACTTTCTTCGTAGAGGATGAAAGCAGTAAGGTGTCCGACTGATGAACTTAGTATTACAAATTGTGCTATAATCAATGCAGATGACTTCCCAGATGATGTCAGGTAAAAATGCCTTGTAATTAATTCATTGATTTGGTACCTATAATAAGATTTAAAACTTAACCGACATATACGTACATATTGATTTTGATAAGATTTCAAACTAATTAAATTGACATATAATTTAATTTATTATTTTATTTCTGTATAATACTTAATTATATTAATCTTAGTTATTAAATTTATTTATTTATTTATCTGTTATTTAAAATAAATAATTTAATTCAATATTACAATAATAAAACAAAGAAAAAAAGAATAAAATATTAATGTCTTAGAATAGAATTTAAGTTTTTGAAACATTTCATTTATATTTCTAGGCATATTGAAGTTACCACTGCACCAAATCATCATTTTGTCTTTACTGTAAAACGACATCATGAAGTACCTAGAGGAACTGTGGGATTTAGTTTACCTCAAAGAAAATGGGCTACTCTTTCTCTTAATCAAGAAATTGAAGTCAGACCATATCATTTTAATCCTACTTCGAGTACAGAATGTTTATGCACCATTGTATTGGAAGCTGACTTCTTACAAAAAAAATCGTATGTACATTACATAAAAAGTTCAATGAAAATAGCATTCATAATAAAATTTATAATATAATATAATATTTATGTATCTTAGGACTAGTTTGGAACCATATAACACCGATGAAATGGCTAAAGATTTTCTACTGCAATTTTCGGGGCAGGCATTCACCGTGAGTCAGCAGTTGGTTTTTCAGTTCAAGGATAAAAAAATGCTTGGTCTTGTAGTTAAAAGTTTAGAAGCTGCTGATCTATCTGCTATAAGTTCTGGACAAAATACAGTACCCAAAAAAACTCAAATGGGGCGCTGTTTGGGTGATACTGTTATACAGTTTGAAAAAGCAGAAAATTCAAGTTTAAACCTTGTTGGCAAAGCAAAAGGAAAAGTTGTTCGACAATCGATTATCAATCCAGATTGGGATTTTCAAAAAATGGGAATTGGTGGACTGGATAAGGAATTCAGTGCCATTTTTCGGAGAGCATTCGCGTCACGAGTTTTTCCACCAGAAATTGTTACACAATTGGGATGTAAGCATGTGAAAGGAATTTTACTTTATGGTCCACCTGGTACAGGTAAAACGTTAATGGCAAGGCAGATAGGGACTATGTTAAATGCTAGAGAACCTAAAATCGTCAATGGCCCTCAGATTTTGGATAAATATGTTGGAGAAAGTGAAGCTAATATTAGGAGATTATTTGCTGATGCCGAAGAGGAGGAGAAGAGGGTATTATATATTATAAAGATATTTTCAACTTTATTTACATATTTTAATGAGTTTTACATGAGTTTTTATTAGTGTACTAATAAGTAATTTTCATTTTTAGCTTGGACCAAATAGTGGATTGCATATAATTATTTTTGATGAAATTGATGCTATTTGTAAATCTCGTGGTAGTGTTGCTGGAAATACAGGAGTTCACGATACCGTTGTAAATCAGCTGCTCGCAAAAATTGATGGTGTGGAACAATTAAATAATATTCTTGTTATTGGTATGACTAACAGAAGAGATATGATTGACGAAGCTTTATTACGACCTGGTAGATTAGAGGTATTGCACTTCGTATTAAATATTCATTAAAAATAATGTTCGAAAATTCATTGCTGAATACATTTATATATACATAGGTACAAATGGAAATCAGCTTACCCGATGAACATGGAAGATTCCAAATACTTAATATTCATACATCTAGGATGAGAGATTATAAGAAGATATCGCCTGATGTTGATTTAAAAGAACTAGCTACATTAACTAAAAATTTCAGTGGTGCAGAACTAGAAGGTTTAGTTAGAGCTGCACAAAGTACTGCTATGAATAGATTAATCAAAGCTTCTAGTAAGGTTGAAGTAGATCCTGCTGCAATGGAAAAACTTATGGTTTCCAGAACTGATTTTCTTCATGCTTTAGAAAATGATGTTAAACCTGTAAGTAATTTAAAAAAAATTTTTTAATGTTATTAACAAAAAGCAGTAATTTATATTGCGTTGTCTAATATCATAGGCATTTGGTACAAGTGCAGAAGCATTAGATCATCTTCTTATACGTGGAATTATTAACTGGGGCAAACCAGTAGCAGAAATTTTGTCTGATGGCAATTTATATATTCAAGAAGCACGTTCTACTGAAGGTTCCGGTCTTGTGTCAGTTTTGTTAGAAGGACCGCCGAATAGCGGAAAAACAGCACTTGCTGCTCAAATAGCTAAAAATTCTGATTTTCCGTTTGTTAAAGTATGTACACCAGAGGATATGGTTGGCTTCACAGAATCTGCAAAATGTCTTTCAATTCGAAAGGTAAATAAAAGATTAATATTTATATAATATATTTTCCATTTATAATATAATTAATAATATTTTTTATATATTTCTTCATTTTAGATATTCGACGATGCATATCGTTCACAGCTTAGTTGCATTTTAGTTGATAATATTGAACGCTTATTAGATTATGGTCCCATTGGACCACGATATTCTAATTTGACTTTACAAGCACTGTTAGTTTTACTGAAGAAACAACCACCACGTGGTCGTAAATTATTAATACTTTGTACTACAAGTCGCAGGTAAAGTACTTAATGTCATAATGATAATAAAGATAATAATTATATGAATTTTTTATTATTAATAATTTATTATTAATAATTATATTTATTTTTTATATTAATAAAATTATCATATTTTTTTTAGACAAGTTTTGGATGACATGGAAATGTTATCAGCATTTAGTACAACTCTTCATGTACCTAACTTATCAACTCCTGATCACCTCCTAAGTGTTTTAGAGGAAGTGGATCTATTTAGTAAAGACGAACTGGTATCTTTGTATGCCAAACTTCAGGGAAAACGGTATGTCTTCATTCTAAATTAATAATGTCGATTTTTGTTTTAAACATACAAATATCAAAAACATGATTTTTCAGAGTATTTATTGGTATAAAGAAGTTGCTATGTCTAATAGACATGGCACGTCAAGTGGAACCGAACTATAGAGTTGTAAAATTCCTATCGAAATTAGAAGAAGAAGGTGGATTGGAATAATAAGTATATAAAGTTGTAATTATTTGTGTAGAAATGAATTAGATATCATGTACCAAT